CTTACTGGAGTCACTGTACACACACACACCTGGAGTACAGAGTCTTACTGGAGACACTTTTGCAGACACAGGTGTGTCACAGGTAGTGCTCATGTCTTCACTGGGGCGTTGGGAGCCCTAATGAAGAGAACTCTGACAGGGTGAGCTGTTGGAGTGAGGGGGGTGTCTACACACTCACAGGTAGACATGTACACACACAGCACGTAAGCACAGGTAGACATACACACACAGGCACAGCAGATGCACACACACAGGTAAACATGCACACGGACACACAAGCAAGCTCTCAAGTGTGCATGCTCGCCAGCGGCTGCACAACTCGATCCCGGAGCCCGGAGTCCCGCGGCAGGGCTCGTTAGGAATGCGGTCTAACTGGGATCCTGTCCAGCGGCGAGTCGGGTCTCCCGGAAAGACCGAGAGCACGTGACTTTAGCGCACGACGAGTTTGGCACGTTGTCAGCCGAGGTGACGTTCAAAACCACTTTCATCCCAGGTAGTAGACGCCGTCTCGGTAGCCAGGCAGTTTAAACATTTCTGTATTAAAGCGTTGTCTTTGGCTTCAGAACTGAGTGGTGTATCCGCCGGGCTGCACTCCTCTTGAGCTCTGAAACTCCGAGGTTGTGAAGTGGCACTTCTGTTTACGTGCACTCCACGGCGAGGCCTTTCCCAGCTCTGGCCCGCTGATTGTAAACGATGCTGCTTTTTCCTTCAGAAATCCTCAAAACAGCGCAACGCACCAGGCTCCGCGCGCCGCACGTCGCACGCCCGCTCCTCGAGACGGCGGAACCTGCAGCTCGCGGGCCGAGGCGCTGATTGGAGGGCCCGCAGCTCTCGCGTGCGCTGCCTGTTGTCAGTGTCTCTCTCAGCTGATGAAGAGCAGGCTGGCACGTGGAGGCGCTGTGCTTGCTACAAGCACGAGCAGGGGAGGGCACGGGACGGGACGTCACGCGCTTCGGCAAATACAAAACACGCAGCACGCAACGCACGGCGCACAGCCGGACCGCAAACACGCCGGCGGACGCACAACTTGCACAGAATCTGGAGAGTCCCGGGGACACTGATATAAAAATGCCTCTGAAGTTTGCAGGAGCTGTTCCAGTGGGAATGCGGTAAGCCGAGCACAGGTTGTATGAATCTCTATATCCCAGTGAGTAAGGTGACGCTTCTGAACCTGGTAGATTTTCTGGATGGGAGTGAGCACAGTTATTGTTGTTTATTATCAGTGTCGTTACAGTGCGAACATAAAACCTAAGAGTGCAGATCTTATAAAAACAGCCCCAGACTTCTCACAGTCTCTGGCTGTATAAGGGTGACCACCCTGCAGCCTGACTGTGTCTGATCTCAGCAGCTCATCCAGCCTGTCTGGGTTCCAGCTGTGGGAAGTGTGGGGTGTGGTGGTGGACCAGTAGGTGGCGCTTTGCCCACTGGACCAGGATTTCCAAACCAGTGCCTCAGTGTGGTGACCGGGACGCAGCATGCTGTCCTCTGGATGAGACGTTAAGTCCAGGTCTCGCCGACTCAAGTCGTTAGAGAGCCCCTGTGCGCTTGTGAGAGCAGCGGTGTTCATCCTGGTGTCCCGGCGAAATTCCTCTCTGAAACGGGACACCCTCACCCTCCTGAAGCTCCCCCAGGTCTGTGAGCGGGGCTGGGGAGCCCCATCTCCCTGTGTGCAAAGAGCTTTGAGTTCAGGGACAGAAACGTCTTCCATTCCACTACTTAGCACATAGGAAAATCTTTATTTCCATGAAGATACAATGTCTCTGACACACTTTGGGGCTCTTAT